AAGCCTGTTGACTTGATGAGTAACTTATCATTTTGTGAGGTGAAAATGGAGTTTTCACAAACTCTGTGTGTTTATTTTTGATGCGGAGGAGAACACTAACTGTTAAGGTTGCAAAAGCTCTGTAAAGTGTTTGAACACTGGGCCAGGCTTTCTTCTCCGGTGTGTGTCTGTGTGGGTGTGAAGGAGCTGGGAAATAGAGGTGAGGCAGTAAATCGTGCCTGGATCTGATGGTGTTTACAGAATACAGAATAAGAGGGCGGGGCCAAAATACCAGAGCTTACACACAATGCTGTGGTGCTGGGATGTCTGCCTTTGGGACAGGGGGCGCTCCAGGACCCCAGCACATCCACTTCCCACGGCCTCGTGCGGATGTGCGTCCAGAGCGTGTACATCCGTCCGTAAATATTTGGACTATAAATTCACAGCATGTTTATTTATTGTCTTAGTGAAACAGGTGGTCGTCAAGCACCTCCAGAGTTCTTCATGACTAAAACAACATTACATCTACTTTTAATCCAGTTTTATTTATACAACACGTGACCTCAGTGTGCTTTATATGTGAACAATAACACAAACGTGTTAAAGTGAGTGTTTGTAGTAACTCACACAAAAACATCAGGATGTTTCCCCTCAGACTGTGAAACCTGTGAAAAAAGCACTTCTGCATTCATTACTCTGAAGGTGTTTGTGATGAACTACAGCTGCAGTGTGCCGTGGGTGCACGGATTCTTAATAGAAATCCCACAGCGCCCCCTACAGGCAATAACCCCACACGGAGCCACGTCACTGTGGACTGTCTGTCTGAATTAGCAAACAGTGAAAGTAATCACATTACTCATCACTTTGTTTTGTTTTCAGAGTAATGCAGTATTAATTAGTAAAGTTAAACCAAGTGTGTGAATACGTCATTAATCCTCCGTGGTCACAGCGTCTCCACAGCAGCAAGAACAGTGACTAAATAAATAATACAATATTTTACAAAATATAACAAAACAGCTCTAATTACTGGAACATTGATAGGTATGTATAAATATCATTACCTATGAATGTCACTTATGGATAATAATAATGCATTGCATTTATAAAGCGCTTTATTCATCCACACACTGGTGGAGGCAGCTACAGCAGTAGCTACAGCAGTAGCCACATCGCGCCATCGGCCCCTCTGGCCAACACCAGTAAGGTGAAGTGTCTCGCCCAAGGACACAACGACCGAGACTGTCCGAGCCGGGGCTCGAACCGGCAACCGTCTGATTCAAGATGAACTCCCAACTCTTGAGCCGCGATCGCCCCGTTTGTTGAGCGGTTTGTTGAGTCTGCTGGCGTCTGTGAGCCTCCACAGAGGACGGCGCCGACCACAGAGACTCACAGAACATGCTGAGCATTGTCCGACAGATGTTGAAGGACCTCAGAGACGACTGGCCCGTCCTCTAGAGGGCGGTGGTGCTTCTAACCCAGTCCAGGTGTTTTCTGTGTGTACTCTGAGGCATTTATGCTCCTCCACGACGTCCACATCCACCTCCTGGACTGAAACAGGTCACAGGTTTCTTGGTCCTCCCACAGTCCACAGTCTTTGGTCTTTGTCACGTTGAGCTGCAGATGATTCTGCTCACACAGCATGCGTGTGACTGTGTTACATGGTTCAAACACCACACAGAGTCTGCCTGTGAATTTGTGTGAAAAGCTTCAGTGTGGCTTGTACTGTAGTCTTAAGTACTCTGAGTACTTAAGACTACAGTACTGTATAAAAGCCAGCCCATCCGTACTCCCGTGTGGGTTACTGCTTAGAAATGAGCAGTAAAGCTTTGCTGTGACAGACTGTGTTGTGTTTTCCACAGTGTATTCTCCTGCAGTGATCATTTCTGCCATCATCCTCATCCTACTGCTCACCGGGATCATCATCACCGTCACAGTGGTGTGCTGCAAGCGCAAGAAAAAAGCTGCAAACGGTGAAAAGAAGGGCGTAGTATAAAGTATGTGCTTCACTACACATCTCTCGCGGTACGTTGAACTGGACACACGGACATATGTCGCTCAGCATTCCTCAGCCAAACACTGGACTTTCATTTAGTTTCTGTGAAACAACCTTATTTTTGACACTGGGAAGATGGGAAAACTCTGCTGAAGCCCTGCTACAGTATGTACTGATACTGCAAATACTGCATCTCCTTTCCTGGTGCCTGTGACTACTATAGTAAAATATAACAGCTTATTTTATTTAATTTCACAGTCTGCTGTGTAAATGTAAATCATTCTTAGACTGTAGTGGGGATTTTACCTTGAAACACATTTTTATGGAATCAAAATGTAGGATGTATATTTTTGTATGTGGTGTATTTATTTTATTGTGTTTAACTGATATTAAAGACAATAAACATGTTACTCCTTACGTTTGTGCATTTTACTGGTAACAGCAGAGCATCGCTGGGCTTTGGTGGTCATCAGCAACACAACAACATTCAGGGGTCAGCGTTTTGCTGGACGCTGTCTGAGCTGATGCAGGATGAAACCCAGCGCTTGGCTCAGACCATCAGTTTAATACATTTGCTGCAGCAGGCTGGATGTGTCACGTTGTTTATTTACAGATAATTTATAAACAAACACCTTCATTACGTGTTGATTTACTCAGTGCACGTGTTTGTTTTTGTTAGTTTACATTTTCCTGGTTCATTCATTTCTTCACCAGGTTAAAACGGCCGTTTATTAATTAATTAATTAATGTTACAATCCATGTTAAAATGTAAAATAAGGATGGTTAAAGGATTTAGACAGATATGGAATTTCTTGGAATATGTTTAACGAGTTTTCAAAGAGCATTTAAAATGTATATGGTCCATTTTGACCAGCATCCTGTTTTATTGTGAAAAGCTCGTGATTGTAAGAGGAAGTGAATGTGATTGTGATCAGTTGCTGAGAAAAGCTGTGAGGAAAGTACGAGATGTTAGTCCAAGTGTGTAATTGTGTACGAGCTGGACTATCTGCTGTCTTTGTCAGTCGCTGCGAGCAGCTGCTCACTCTCGTTTGAGCATCAAGAGCCTGAAACATCCTGAACATGTCCACTGATGACTCCTTCACACGTAACTCTTATGATCTAGTCCCATTTCACAGGGCTCATGCTGCTCCATGTGACTGTCTCAGCCACAGATGACAGCTGCAGACATAAAGCTACAGAAAAATGACCTGGTAGCTCACAGACATCATGTCCTCCACCCTCTGGAGACATCAGAGCCTATAGAAGCCATGTCTAATATGAGTCCAAGTTTGACGTTTAAAAGACGTCCACAATGACCACACAGGGACTGTAAATAGCCGCACACGGAGGTGCTACGGACGTGAACACTAGACTAGAGATGGACCGATCCGATATTACGTATCGGTCCGATACTGACCTAAATTACTGGATCGGATATCGGAGAGAAATAAAAAATGTAATCCAATCCATTAAATATCAAACAAGCACCTCACAAAACTTGCAACATGGCGTAACTCGGCTCATAATCGAGCAGTGTGGTCATGTGGCTGTGTGTATTAGCCTCAAACCAGCATTTCATCTCCGAGGAAGTTACCCCAGAGAGAAGTAAAGCAAGTGTGTAAGTTCATCTCTGAATGTTTGTAAAGCTTAACAACCGATATATGGAGCGACTGCCTCTCTCTCTCTCTCTCTCTCCTGCTGCTACTTCAATCATGAAACTGATCAATGATCAGCTGATCGTCTCCTTTGTTTTTGGCCCACTTTGCACCAGAAAGAGGAAACCAGCGGCTGAACAACAGCAGCACGTTTAAGCTTGATCAGCTGTTGTTAGAATTTATTTAATATTAATTTCTACTCGAGGATCTTTTTCTACAGCTGACGTAACTGTGCAGGGGTGGATCTAGCAAAGTTTAGCCAGGGGGGCCGATAGGGCAATAACAGGGAAAAGGGGGCACAAAGACATACTTTTCTTTCTTATTCTCATTTAAAATGTCGAGCTTTTAATAAATAATTATCTGACACCCAAAGTTTTAATCTGATGTAAAATGTATAGAAGTCCATTACTGTATATAGTAACTGTTAAGTCTAATATACCCTAGTAAGCTATAGTACTTTTTCCTTTGGGAACCATCTGTGCAGTCTGCAATTTTGTTGAAGAAAGATGTTGAATCTATTTAATTATTCTTGAAAACTTATTGATTCTGTGCATTTTTTTTCACACTGCATCAAATTAAGGTTGATTACGTCGATTAAGCACCATGAGGTGGGGGGTGGCTCCCTATTTTTTTATTAGGTTATTAGGTTGCTTAATATTTCTGCTAAGTACTCTTTAAAATACCAGAGTAGGGAGGATGGTGCAGGTTTAAGTTCATTAGATTGATCAGTGTTGCTGAATTATGAAATATTTTGGGTGCAGTGTATTTTTTGCATACAGGTCTAACAGAATAGCTTTAGTGTTGTTGTTTATTTACACTAGAGTATGAACTCATACAAAAAGCAGCAAGATATTAAAAAACAGTTTTATTGATTAAAAACACTATATCGGATTCATCAGTGGGACTGGACTCCATATATTACAAAGACGTATTAGGGACACATTAAGAGAAAAATGTTGTCAATCGTTCTGAGAAAAAAGTTGAAAGTGTATTTCAAGAAAACAAGTACTTCTATTACTTTGTGCTAACATATTGATTCCAGAGGGAACGTTGCACATGTTCTAAAGAACAAAGCTTTGACGTCAGCCGCAATCAGGTAGCTTCATTATAGATGATTATCACCATCATCATCATCAATCACAGCATCTGATCGATAACTGATCAGGAGCCGATCAGTGCTTAATTATTTTTAAACCGTCTGTGACTATGAATGTGAAACTGAATTTACATTAAATTTGTTTAACAAAAGCAAAGAAAACAATGCTGATGGTTACAAAATAGTAACGAGGATGTTATTCTTCACACAGGCTGCTTTTCTGTAACCGAAGCAACAGTACTCAACAAAGGAACTGCAGTGTTATTGCAGCACTTACAATATAAAGTGCCTTGAAGCGGCTGCTGTTGTGATGTGGCATCATATATATTTCCCTACATATTCATATGCAGGTATGTACACATACACGCTGATCTATTCATAAAGATTAGAAGTGAAAAGCATTGCATTTGAAACTGTTATTGATTAAACAGCTGTTTAATTTCACAATAATTAAAAGTTGTAATTAAAATGAAGGTTTTATATTTACAGAGTGCCAGAGTACATGACACAAAGCTGGGCAGCACATGAACAAACATGGCTGCTCCTGATGGTTACCGATCTCTGCGGCCTCAGACTTTGCGTTTTGGCAGCTCAGCCTGGTAAACACATTTCCCATCTGTCTGCATGTAACTGACTGTCATCTGACGCTCAGTCACTTGGAAGAAAGCCAGGCCTCCTGCTGTGTGATTGACAGGACTGGAAAAGAGCTGCCAGGACGGAGGGACACTGCTGATGTGACGAGTGGAATGATCACTGACCATCCCACTCCCGCTGACAACATACGAGCTCCCATCATCCTCTCTGATGAACTGTTGGAGGAGAGAACAGAGAAACTGCGTCTTCTTTTGATGGGTTGGATTGTCACACTTTCTACACAAAGATCAGGAACTAGCATCTCTTTGTTTAACATTAATATGATATCCTCTGGTTTGGGGCACAGAAACTGATCAGCAGTCAGAAACACTTGGTCAACACGTCATAGCACAGGACTGGTTGTCCCAGCAGGTCAGTGCGATGGACTGAATATAATGGAGACACTTCACTCCCTTGTTTTAACTGGTGAAAGTGATGTTCTGTATGTGAACACACCTGCAGATCATGATCATGGCCACACAGGTAAACGGTGACTCCGTACTTCTTCAGCAGAGGCCGTAGTTTGTCGACTAGACAGGCTGTAGGTCCGTGATTGCCAATAGACCACACAGGATAATGACCAGCCACCACCACATAGTCAGACCTGCACAAGCCAGACAGCCTTTAAACTCCCACACAGAGGGACCAGCAACACCAGCAGAGCTAACTGGTTTAAACTGTTGGGTGTATGTTTCCCTCTCTTTGATGCTCTTCTTTATTTGGTTTTCTGTACACTGTATATTTATTTAAATCCTCATTCTGCGTAATATTTGTCACACAGTTGTATATCAAACCTTTAATAAATCACAAATGTATCTTTGTATTGAGTGACATCTGTGCAGATAACTGGTCAAACGAATCTGTGTTTGAATCACCTGCTGCTGGCCAGTTTAGCACTGATCCAGTTCCACTGGTTTGCTGCTGCCGTGGAGTCCTCTGGTCCCACAGGCTGGACCTGGTCATTGGTGTTTCCACAGAGCACCACCGTATCAATCATCAGGATGCTCACTGACACGTTTGTGTGTGGAACAGTAAACTGAAGATCGTAATAAAGAGCTGGGTAATTCCTACAGAGACAACACATCATAACGTCCAAGCAACACTGAGGTCTGGAACCTTGAATCATCTCAGTTATCACAGAAACGAGTGTACAAAACATCAGAGCACGTTTTAGCAACGTCTGAAACACGATTTTAATGCAAGTCACATGATAACTAGTTCAGGTCAAAGCTACAGGTGTAAGAAGACTGACCTTCTCACTCAAACCTTGTCTGTATTGCTTGATATTTACCATCGGTGGGATATGTTAGAGTAAGCCATTTGTGCTGAGATGTTGCCGATATGGTCGTGGTTTCCAGCAGTTAGGTACCACTGTATATCCAGTAGAGATGGCTGCGAGAAGACACCTTCAAACGTGTTCTGTGGAGGAGAAATACCTCACAGTTTATGTCTGTGTAGGCTCTCAGTCGTCCAGCTCATGGTAGTCTAAGAAGCTTTGAAAGTACTGGACTTCTTCTGTTTCACCTGTCATCAAAGAAGCTTCTGCAAGTCTAAAACCTGAGGTATTTAAACCCAAGAGAGTCACTGACCCACTATGGATTTATTCCACAAACATGAGTGTGCCATGGGCTCCCCAGTGTCACCCATTATAGCCAAGCTTTACATGGAGGAAGCGGAAAATAAAGCACTTAGCCACTGGCACAGATACGAGGATGACACCTGGGTCAAAATCAGAACCCAGGAAGTAGAAGCCTTCACTGCTCACATGAGCTCTGTGGATAGAAACACACCAGGGCAAAGGATAACTGTTCACTGTTTCTGGACTGTGCCGTGCGCACGGAGGTGAACGGAAACCTCAACACTGACGTTTACCAGTTTACCAGGACATCTGCATCTCAAGGACAAAGGTCTTTCGAGGATGTCAGTGTTCACATTGTGGGCAGAGAAGACAGATGGTTTGAAAGAGGAGTGAAAGAAGTTATCTATGTCCACTGTGAATAATCATCTTTAAATAAAGGCTGCCTTACATCACCAACTGTCTGCTGGCTACGATGCAGTTTCTCTTCCAGGTGCCTGACATTTACATCAGGTAACCTCAACAGGTCACATGACAGGGTAAGGCAAGGTCTCACAATGGTTCCACCTGAAACATACTTATCACGCCTCCGTTCTTGTATCACACCGTGACTCACGTGACGAGGCTCGTGATCAGTAGTGGGTCAACAACTCTTAGCCTGCAGTCTGTTAGACTGATGATAGCGTTAACAAGCTGCTAGCTGCAAATAATCATGTGCAGTTCTGAAAGCAGACTATGACCTCACCTCAACTAATGCCAGCTCGGTGGTGAGTAGCCTCAGTAACACTAATAAATCACACAGCAGCAGTACATTCACGTAGTTGTAAAAGCATGACAATAGTAATCCAAAGTATTCAGAATCCCTTACTCACATTGAGTAACTGAACAGAATATGTTACAAACGACATTTTGGGGCATGTATTCTGTAATCTGTAGTGGAATATGCTTTAAAAGTAACCTTCCCAACACTGGGTACCAGTACTGTCCCTCCAGTCTTCACTTTGCAGGGAATATGGTGATCGGGTGTTTCTTTGGAAACCTCAAGCCACATTTTGCAGCTTTCTGGAGTCCAGCAGAGCTAAACATGGACAAGCTTCCTGTTGCTATGGGTTTCTTTTGGTTCTCTTACCTATTGTGAAGTTCACAAAGAAACTGGCAGTGAATAAATTATCCCTGCTCATCTTCACTGTAAAAGAGTGTAGCAACACCAGTGAGAAGTGCTAACTACAAATCTAAAACTATGCGTTTGATTTGTAACATTTTAGTTTACAAAGGAAATGACATCACCCTGCAGAATCCTTTAGGGTAGACTAAACTCTGAAGAGATGCTATTCATCGCAAAGTCTGGGGCTACAAGAAGAGCTCAACAGAATATATCAACAGCTGTTAATGCATAGGTCCTGATATGATATACCTTGAAGCGTGGGTCTTCCACATCCTTGACGCCGCTAAAATAGAAGTGATCTCCAAGGCTGAGAACAAAGTCCACCCCCTCGGATTGGGCCAGTCTATCCATCTCTGCAGCAATAGCTTTCTCTTGAGCAGTGTAGTAAGGAGGAAAAGGCAGCCCACCCCAGTCTGCAAGCACCACAAAGTTCAGCACACCTACAGACAATGAAGACACTTTTCTCAACACATGTGCACCATCCACAGACAGATACATACATGTGAATGGTTTTGTGGTTTAAAAACTATGTGTGAAATGCCTTAATGAAAACAAATGGTGAACATTCAAACAGACAGGCCCTGGCCAGATGGTGGATTCACACCCACAACCTTCTTGTTTATTACTTTGGCTGGGCAACAACAGCACTAAATATTGTGCCCCATGCTGCCCTCTAGTGGTGCCATATGACCTAAATCAGTGGTTCTCAACCGTTTCACAATGAGTACCACCTCAATAAATATATGGCTCTTAAAGTACCACCCTTATGACTGACATTAAAGTACAGTAGTATGGGCCTATTTAACACCACATATAGTTTACACAAGACAATTTTATTTCTTATATGAATGAATTTTATTTTAACTTTCATAAACAGGACGTGACAAGTGATAATAATAACAACTGTACTGCATTAAAACATTCACAGCAGGTGGGATAGCCAATCTTTAAGTGGTGACCCGATGAAACCTGCGTCAGTCCAAACTACTCTGAGATTATTAAGGCTGTTGTGTTTTCAACATGTTTTAATGCTTTCGATCTTGTTCTGTTTAATCTGATCAAGCCCTGTTGGCCTCTCTCGGTTTTTATTACCACTGTTCATTTTAAAGCTCAGTTTTTAAACCCTTACGATGTAACTGCAGCCCATGCAGCAGTATATTAATGACTAACCTCGTATTGCAGTTGTTCTCCTGACTGAAGTTTGGTCCGTTTACAGCATCCTGTCATGCGACTGCCAGGGGCGTAATTTCCAGAGGGATTAGGCGGGTTATGACCCCCCCCCCCCCCCCCCCCCATTAATCAGACCCAACCAATATAACCCCCCCCCAATAAAATTATGAATTATCTTGCATAAATAGGCTGTTGATTTTCTTTACTCATTTCAGTTATTACCAGCAAAATAGTTGAATGTTTAATCATCTGGGAATTTACTCAGATTTATTTATTTATTTAGACAGAGATCTTGACCCCCCCAATGTTCAGCACAAAGTTACGCCGATGGCGACTGGATTTATCCCTAACCATCGGGAACCCTCACGTTAACTTTTACAGAGTGGAAAAAAGTTAGCGTTCATCCTCCATCTTCACTGTTTGTGTTATGCTAACATAGCTGTGTAGTTAGCGGTCACGTAGCACATCATTATATACCAGCTAGCCCAACTTCAGTAACCCTACAAACGTCACTGCTGTTTAGTTTCCTGTCTTCATTTATGCTGGAAGTGATAGCAGAGCTGTACAGTTTAATTTGTGTTGTGGCGATTAAGCTGCCGGATTTTTGGCTTCACAACTCTTCGTGGTCCGTGGACATCGAACCTCAGTTTGCTCTTTGTGGCATTTCAGAAACAAAATAACACCATGTGGTGGCCTTGCTGGATCTGCTGCGATGACCCGCTGTGTGATGACCCTTCTCTGGGCTCCCCCCACCCGAGGGAAATTCACCGCTCTCAAGGCGCTGCTGCTGCGCCGCTACTCCCTCTCCGATGCAGAGCGGGCCAAGATACTCCTCTCTCTCTCAGGCCTGGGTGATGGTACCGCTCTTGAGCTCATGGAGCGCACGCTGTCCTTGCTAAGAATGGATGATGGCGGATTTCTCTTCACTCACGTCTTCCTCCGACAGTTGCCGGCACCAGTGCCAGCTGGCCTCGCCAACTCCCCGCTGCTGGCCTTGGAGGATTACCGCTCACTCGCAGAAGAACCAGATCGTATTCTCCTGGCTACTAGGAGCTTTGGCATCCAGGTGATAGTTCCGACGGCATCTCCTGCCCATCCACCGATTCTCCCGGGGGCCTCTGACTCATCGATGGTAGCTGGGATCGTGGCACGGCGGCGCCTTGGAAAACAGCTGTTTTTTTACCAACAGCATTTTGGCACCACAGCATGGCGCTGTCTGCCGCCTTTGCAGTTTCAAGGCCCAGGGAAACGAGCCCACCAGCGCTCTGTAGTGGCCGCGACCGCTGGCGATAAGGAAAGGCTGCTCTTCATAGAGAACTCATGCTCAGGGAGACGTTTTTTGGTTGACTCGGGCTCCCAGAAGAGTCTCGTGAAGTCTCATGTCGTCTTTGCAAACCTCCACAATGGTATATTCTTTAATCCTAAAAACAATTGGAGATTTCCTGCATACCACTAGAGAGAGCCCAAGTACCACCAGGGGTACGCATACCACAGTTTGAGAATGACTGACCTAAATAACACTACAGCTAACCGCGCTAACGCGCTGACACGGCGCAGCCCCATGCATTGGGCAATCTGCGCTAACTTGCTAACGGAGATTTGCTGGGTTAATGCAGTTATGGCGTTAAGGTCATTTTAAGGAGATTAACGCTGACAGCACTAATAAAAACACATCTTTTGATGTTTTTTTAATTTTATTTAAATGGTGTGCAAAAGTCTCAAGACATCTTAGTCCTTTATATTTTGCTTCCAGGGAGTCAGATTGTTGCCAGACTTTGCATTTTTCTTTTTCAACACAGCACTCGTGTGCTGGCTCATGCCCTGCCCACCTCACGTTTGGGAGACTGTAATACCATTCTCTTTGCTCTCCTCAAAAACAAACTTCTCAGTTGGCTCCACATGGTACAGATGGTACATCTACACAAATCTGCACCAATGACTGTTGCACCCATTCTCAGCTTCACTAGCTCCCTATCCACATTGTATTCAGTACAATATTTTGGTTCTTTGACTCTGACCTCCTTCAGCCTTAGACTCCTTCTCATGTCCTCTGCTCAGTCAGCTGCTCCTCACGTCAAACTGGACACTTCACGTGATGGAGTCTTTCGCTGCGCTGCACCTTGACTTTGAAATTCATTACTACACCTTCAACAGCTCGACTCTGACAGAGTCAAATCTCAGCTCAAAACTTAACATTTTCATTTGCATGTCAACTCTAATCATCCTTAACTTTTTAGTATTCCTATCTTCTAAAACTGTTCTTGTTATTTTGTGTTGTAGGGGCCAACAAATAAATATTATCGTTATTATAACGCTGACCTATCAGTCATTCAAGCCTTATAAAGGTACCCAGCTCAAGGGATGAACCAATGATGCAGCTACACTAAACACACAACTTGGCAAATACCCTGTTTTGTAACTTTGGGCACTTTATTAGCAGCCTGTCACAACAAGGAAACAAAGTAATATGTTTAAGCTCAAATATAAGGCTCGAACCTGAGAGTCCTTAATCACGACTCTTCATGTACTTCCTGTGTGACAGGTCATCACACTGTAAATCAAACCTAACACTGACTAACATAAGCAGCAGCTTACCTTGTTCCACAGCGTCGAGGCCTTTCCACAAGTTATGAAAGCTTAGAATCAACACTATACACATGAGCCTGTCCATGGCTTCACTGTGCTCCCGTTTAAAACCGAAACAAACCTGAAACTTCCTGCATCAGGCCGGGCGAGAAAAACAGGATATCAGCTGATCAGCAGGTCAAAGTACAAACTGACTGCAGTTGCTCTAAGCAGACACGTTGTGACACACTGCAGCGAGTAAAAGAAGTGCAGACCTTCACACGGATCTTGCAGTATTTTCTGCTCTGCATGAAATGATTTTAAAGGAAGCTCTAAAGACAAACCTCTGAAAAAAGCAAAAACATAACGAGATTAAACACCTGTGTGGGTGTTTCCTGTGGTTACAGTGTGCAACTTTTATTATACTATCATTCAAGGCTAACGACGACAGCAATTCCTAAATTAGAGTAATTTAACTAAATACAGGCTGTGCAGAGAGCGCTATGCTGACTGGTGCACTGACAGGGTCACAGCAGTGTGATGTTGTCACCCTCCGTGGAAAAGCAAGAGATAGTGATGATGTTCTGCAACAATCCCACCCAGCCGGGGACCGTCCACCCTCCAAGATAACCATGCTCGTTCCAGTAGGAAGTGAATTCACTTTCACTGATGTAGTGCCAGACAATTTCTTCACACTTCAGTCATCCCCTCTGATAAACAACACCCACGTATCAATAACAGAAAATGTGACATTGGTAGAAAAAAACTTGGTGTTTCATGGATGCTGCACAACTCACAGGTGCATTGTCCTTGTAATTGTGTTACTATTTATGGGCAAATAAGAGAAACATTGTTACAACAGAAATAAAATCAACCAACACAACGTTTAGTTCTTTTGTGGTAATTTTATGAAAAGCAATGTTTTTAAGTTTCTTAAAAATAGAGATGGTGAATCCAAACTGGGAGAACTTCAAAGGAAGCCAGTACAGGAGAAGTCTCACTGTGGCGTTTTGGATCAACTCAAAGCTTTTCAGGGAGTTTTTAGGACTTCCTGTTGACAGCGATTACAGATAGAAGTAATAAACGTATGAAGAAAAGCAGTCGTACACATTTATATTTTGGTACATGGACTGGCTCTCATGCACCGCCTTTCTACTCTCAGCACTTTATACAAGAGTCCTCATCCACCCCGTTTATAGAATCATGTTTTTCCATGTTTAACTGAGCTCAGGTAGAGAACGGGAACAGGGTTGATGTGCAAGGCTGTAGCAACTACAGTGTGATGATATGGAAACAGCGTCTGAAACTAGGGTGAAGACAGATGTCGTGATCAGCAAGCAGCAGTATGGATTCATGAGCAGGAGCTGGACCAGCACACATGTAAGCACAGCGAGACGGCGGGGAGGCGTGTCATAGATGAGGCAGATGGTTCACATCAGAGATCAGCTCTGAGCCTCCTCTTGGTCTCAACGCTGATGGACAGGTTGAGCTGCAGTGAGAGTGGAGAGCCAGGAGGGGTGGAGGTATGTGCTGGATCGCTTTCAAGATCGACCTCCATCACTGCAGAGCAGCTCTTGCTACCCATGTTGAGTTCCCCAAAAAAGTCTTTTTGTATAATTCTGAAATTATTATTTTTAACGTGTGGCAGTTCAACACTTTGCACCATTTCATTCGTTAAACGAATAACTGGAAATGTTGGGCTGTTCTAAAACGTTACAAATCCATCTCTCTGTGGATGCACAGACACAAAAATCGTTTCTACAACTCTTTATTTCATTAATCTGAGGTGAGATAACATTAATTATAGAAAATACCAACACAGTTAAGGCTCCCCTTTACATTTTTAAAACATTAGTATAAGGTACAAACCCCCAAAACAAACACAGTCCCACCACCCACAGAATCTACATTTCATTCATGGAAATTAGTAATGACACATCGGGAAGGGAAATGCTCAAAGTCATGATTTGGTGTTTAAGTGTGGACCAGTTTTATCATCACTGATCAAAAACAGGAGAAGGTGCAGCTTGACAACCACCAGGTTCAAATGACTGAGCTCCAGAAACACAGCTCGTGCCGTTACCAACAGTTTTTCATAAAAACGCTGCACTGAGCTTAACGAGCTGCATTCTGCTTCTCCATCTCTCCACTGTTTGTTTGTCCGATCACACAGTCAAGATATTCAGACCAGCTTTATAAACAAGAGCAAAGTTCTGGAAAACTACAGGCTGCCGTCTGTGACAGTACTTATGTGTTTAACAAGAAACAACCACAGGCCTCGATAACTTTGTCCCACAGCCAGAGAAAAAGTCATCGAGCAAACTTGTTTTAACTCCATGACACATTTAGACGGCCTTTATCCTTCGGCTTTGAGAGGAGGGGAAACAGCCAGTAATGACAGAAGCAGCAAGCACATTTATGCCATCAGATAAGGGGTCCCTCCCCACAAACTCCCCCACAGGTATTCGTTATGACCCACAGCTACATGTGAAAGTTGAAATGCTTGCTGGCGTCGTCACCTGTAGGTGGAGTGCCAGATGTCCCCCTGGTACCACAATTGAAAACAACAAACAAAAACAAATAAGCCGTCATTGTGAATCTGAACCAAGTTTAGCTAAAGGTTAGCCGAGAGCGAGGCGGACCCAGAGTGAGAAATGTGAGTGGTTGCAACAAGGCGAGATGTCCTGTGTGATGTGTTTGTGATGCCACAGGATTCGCCTCCTCACAACTGCTTCCATAAATGAGCTCATTAAAACATTAATTACGAGTGAAGGACCGTCCAACGGTCAACTCTCATCTTCAGTCAGAAGCTCCCAGACAGACACATGTAGGCAGCATCACACTCACATGAAGAACAGCTCCTGCTCCTCATTACAAGCAAACCTGGTACTGTTATGATCCATGACTGCAGTGGTGACACAGTAGCATGAGTCTACTTCTTAGTGTGAAATAGCCTAAAGGCCGGAAACAGACGTTTGGCAGTGAACAAATTATTGTTTCGACAGGACAACAGTGATAAGGATTTAACAGTGCGTAGTTTGAACTGCTGCCACGAGTGCAACCCACCCACCAAACAAAAACACTAAACAGAAAGAACACAGGACGGGTTTCTAAATCAACAGGAAGTCTGCGCCAGTGTCAGCAGCTGGTAGTTATGAACCAAACTCGACTGTTTCCTCTGTGATGGGCTTGAACTCGTAGTTTCCTCGTCCATCCATGTGCAGATAATACTACAGGACAGATCCAGAAACACAGAGTGAGTGTGGGAAGGAGAGAAATAAAGAGACCAGTGGGTTAAAACACATTTACCAATACAAAGATGTCGTTTACAACAGCAAAGAGATCAGTTACAAATGTAACCACGTGTCAGATGGTTAGGTAACAGTAAGCACCAAGATCAACATGTTTCTGTACACACATGAAGAAGACCTGGGAGGTCCGTCACTATTCACAGGTTACTCTACAGTGACACAAAGACTTTGTTGTCATTGGTTGACTATACTGCACAAACTAATGAGCAGTAATCCAATGAGACATCAAGGAGGCTCAGGATAAGCTCAGTCATAAAAGCACCAGCACATCGTAGCATTGACCGTTTCACTGACGTTAGCATAGCGGTGACAGCATGGATCCGAGCACAGCTTCAACCAATAGGATTCCTCTCTTCATGATCGCGACCAATAAGATCAAGAGACTCAGCGGCCAACATTACACAGTGTGTGGCACATCACATACTGTACAGTTTATCAACACTGGACATCGTAATGACTCTGCTTCTAATCATAGTGAGTAGATGAGGGGGGAAGCTTTGGTGCCCCTGAAACAACAAACCACCCTGAATACAGTTTGTTTGAAGCCTTAATCACTGAACGTTACAGACGTGTTAGTCTGAACTATGCACAGACTCACTGCTCCCAAATCTGCACTATGAGTGGTCTGCTCAGCCTCAACAATGAAGCCGAGCGCTGACACAATGACAGGATCTGCACTTTGAATCATAAGAACATCCAGTCCTACCTCATGATGTTTCCACAGGGATTTCCTGTGAGACACAGTGAACAAGGTGATGCCCACCTGTTGAGATAAAAAACAAACCCCCGTTTTAAAGAACACCATGGTGAGATTTTGCCACATCATCTCCAACCCTGCTGCAAAAGCTCATAGTGTGCTACGGCCCCAGCAGGGCCTCCTTCCAAATGGACCTGTTCATACAGCTGACCCCCATCAGAGTTTAAAGGTACTTCAGGCCAGAGAAAGGTGAGCTCTAGTGCCAGAGAGCCTTGTTGGGTAGCAGCCAGTGAGCTGTGTGGTGGCTGATTAACTAACTAACGCTTCTGACTTTTCAGCTTTTTGACCAACACCTCAGTTTTGTTGCTCTTTCTTCAAAGCTGATAGCAGCTTCTGCGTGTCTGAGTTTAGTTAGTAGTAGAAGCTGCATGCTCAGGACTGGCTAAGCCCTCTGAGGTTGATCTGGATTCAGTGACTTGACAGCTTCAGTTTAGACTGACAACAGTTAAAGGAGGGCGCTGGACAGATGCTATTCTGAAAGCAATGAATTCAGATCAAGGTCAGTCCCTGACATCACTGAGAAGTCAAACTAACATTTAACTGTTCAGTTTCTGTAAACAGGGAAACTTCTAGAAACCAATGAATTCCAAGATGCACTTTGATATGACTGAATGAAGAAATGATTAAACTGGACGGGAGGAGTCGTGCCAGTGAGCAGGTTCACATAATTTAGTCACTCTCTAACTGGCCCCAGTTCAGCAGAGCCCCCCCAACAAATGTGGGCCCAGATGTAAACGAATGTGCTCATGTGCTATATTTATGTATATGCAAAGACATACCGTCCTGCAATGGGTGTAGATGTAATCCTCAACATCCACACTCACTGCACTGGTGCACTCATCCAGGATCGCAAACTGGGGCTTGTGGTAGAACAGTCTGGCCATCTACATGAAATAGATGTGTTAGGTAAGTCAGTCACTGCTGTTCCAAAAGTTGACCAGTTGACTGAAAATGATACTCAAATCCACAGCCACAGGGCAACTCCTGCATCACACTGCCGGTTTAGGTGTGAGAATAAAGCGCTCCTTCAAATGTGTCTGTTAGCAAGCAGAGAAGGGCTTTCATCCCCCGCAGGCCCGACCCCGCAGAGGGTGAAAGCCCA